GTCCCCCGCATGGTCGAGCAGCCACTGGCGCGCTTCCGCGCCCAGGCGGCCGGCGGACTCCACGACGAACGCCGTCAGGCGATCGCCGGGGCACCGCCCGTGCTTTTCGCGCCTGGCGCGCCGCGAAACTTCCCCGGCACGCCGCGCCGCAGCGCACATTGCCGCCGCGCCCCCAGCGGCCGTCCTCCTCGGGGTACCCCACATCGAGGATGGCCCGCTCGAGGATCCGGCCACAGCCCCTCGGTCGGCCGGCGGGCGCGGGCGCGGCCCCACGTCGGGGCGCGCTGATCGTAGAGCGGTTCGCAGCGCCGCCACCGCCTTGCGAGGCCGCCCACGGCCAGGACGAGGTCGCCGCGGCGCCGGACCACGCCGCCGCCGCGCTGGCAGGCGGCCGCGTGGAACACGTCAGGGTCGAGCGCCGCGGCGCAGATGGCCCCCCACAGCAGGTCGCCGAGGCCCGCGCCAACTCGTCGCCAGAGCACTCCGGCCGCGGCAAGTGAGGCGACATCGGAGCGCCGTCGCCCAGTGGACGTCCTCCAGGGAGCAAGCTGGCTCAGCGGGGCACTGCAAGAAGGCCCCGCACTCCGGTCGACAGGAAGGCTGCCTGACCGCGGACGCGCATTCGAGCCGCCTCAGCCGCAGCGCGGGTCGTCTCATGCATCACCGCAGCCAGGACCTCCTGAGGCGCAGTCGTCAGCGGGGCGCTCGGCACTGGCCCCAGCGCAGCCGCCAGAGGGGCGCTCGGCGCCAGCCCTGCCCCCTGGCGCCCAAGCTCGGCAGGGGCCGCCTGCAGCGTCTTCGCAGCCTGGGGGGGCGCCGCCAGGGTGCCCTCCAGCGAGGCGAGCCCGAGGTCGCCGCGCACTTCGTTGGCAGCGCGCGCCCAGACAGCCCAGTAGGCGGCCGCGCGGCGGGCAGCGACCTGGGCGCCGGCGCCGCCCATCTTCGCCGGCAACCGGCCGCCCCAGCAGCTCGCGCGCCCCAGGCCCAGGGGGTGCGTTCGTCGGCGAGCTCCGCCCATCAGCCGCGCAGCACCGCGTCGTAGCGGAGCACTTAGGCGCGGGGCGCCGAGGCCAGCTGGGGGTTGCGCCGGCCGGCGCGGCCGCCAGGCGCGCGAGGCCGCCTTGCCTCAGCTCCTGCAAGCGCGCCCAGAGGCGCTGCAAGCGCGCCGCCGCCTCGTCGAGCCCGCTGGAGTTGCCCCCCCGGCGAAGCGCAGCGCCCGCGGAGCTGGGATCTTTGCGAGGGCCGTGCCGACATGGATGCGGAGCCCGCGCGCGGACTCTGTCACAGCGGCCTTCGGTGGGGCCCCCTGCGGAGCCACGATCCCGGCGAAGGAGTGCGCTGGAACCGATGCGGGGCCCGCGCGCGGACCCAGCGCGTCTTCCGTTTGAGGTCCCTATGGGGCCACGATCCTCGTGAGGGGTGCGCCAGAATGGGCGCGGAGCCCGCGTGCGGACCTCGCCGCCGGGGCCGTCGGCGGAGCTCCCTATGGGGCCGCGATCGTCGCGAGGGGCGCGCCGGAATGGGCGCGGAAATTACGCGCGGACCCTGCCGCTGGAGCCATCGGTGGAGCCCCCCACGGGGCCACGATCTTCGCGAGAGGCGCGGCGAACAGGATATGAGGGAAGGGGTGGGGGGCGGAAGAGGGGGGAGGCGTGGGGCGTTGTTTTTCCCAAACGCGGACCCAACATCACAGGATAGTTGGGGAATACCTTGCGCGAGCGCGCCGCCCTCCTCCTTCCGCGTCTCCGCGGGCAGCTTTCGGGCGCTCGCAAGCTCGCGCCTGGCCTCGCTGGAACGGCGCCCGGGCCGAATTCGGTGCCGAGGCGCCGGCCCCCGCAACTGAATTTCCGAACGGTCTATAACCAGAGATTCAGACGGGCCCAATCTGAATTTCACAAGTTAAGGGGCCAATCTGAATTTCAGAATGGGCCAATATGAATAATTTCAGCGCGGGCGCATCGAGCAAAACGCCCCGGGGCAGGCCCCCAGGGGGCCAATCTGACATTCAGACAGGCCCAATCTGAATTTCAGACAGGGCCAATCTGAAATTCAGATACGGGGACCGCCGCCTCGACGCAAATCCGGCGGCGCCGTCGCCCCAGGCCCTTCGGCGCCATCTGGCACGCCCGAACATCGCGCGAATTGACAGCGCCCAGAGACGCGGCCATGCCGAGCATCCTGCTCGCGGCGAGCGCGCAACCGAAACGCTGCGCGCTATGGCGACTGCCGCCCCGAGTGCGCGATGCTCCGGGCGACGGCGCTCTTTGGCAGCGCCCGATTCGCCCCCCGCGGCGACCCCCCCCCCCCCCCCCGCGGTTCAAGCGCATCATGTAATTATCACCTGCAAGGCTAGACTGCAACGGGCAGGCCCTGCCGCCGCCCAACCTATGTTGTCGGTGCTAACTATTACCCAGAGGGCCCCCAGAGACATTTTCTGCGCGACCCCCCCCCCCCCCGCGTTTCTCCAGACGACTTCCCCGAACTGCCGAACGACGACGACGCGTTTCCAATTGACCCGCGAGGCCGCCACATAGGCAGCCACAGACTACAGGAGGCGCCCCAAAAAACACCCAGGGCGCCCGATGACGACCCATAGCCCGCCCGAGGCGCTTCCGAGAGACGCCCCCGCCCCCCCTCCGATGGTTTGAACGGTTCCCGAGATGCTGCCAACGCGATTCAAGAAGCCAGCAAAACGGCTCGAGACGTTCAGTGTTTGCCCCTAAAACCAGAGGCGCGACTGTGCAACCACAGTCGTATCACAGAGCAGGCTTAGCCATCTGCAGTTTCTGGGGTTGTTCCCGAAGTGCCAGGGAATTCTGGCGCCGCCCTCCTCGCGCTTCCACCGGGCCCCCGAGACGGCCCAAAATGCCCCCCGACGAGTTTCCAAGAAGTAATCGGGACATCCCCCGCGGCCGCCGAGACAACCCGAAAGACCCCCAACGGACATCCAAAAAGGCTCGCCCCAGGCCTCGGCCCATAAACCTCCGAGAGACCCCCGCGTTGGCCCATGCACTTCCCAGAGAAGCCCATGGACGGCAGAATTGAAGGCTCCCGCGGCAGACGAAGATGGCCCAGAAAACTGCATGAGAAACCCAAGACAAAAACGCCAGGGTGCATCCGAAACGCGCCCTAAGCGGTTTACGAAGCTCCGAGCAGGCTCACTGCGATCCTGACAGAGGCAGCGGCAACGACGACTTCCCCGAACGAGCGGGCGAGGCGCATCGCCCCAGCCACGTCATTCCACGCCCTGCCCCCCCTCACTCCACCTCTTTCCTCCGTCTCCCTCGTCCGTCCTTCCTCTTTCGTCGCCGTTGTCCTCCTCATCCTCTTCCTCCATCATTCGAGCCCCCTGCCCCCCCTATTGCCCAGCCCCGCCCCCCTTCCACCCCTTCGGAGCATCGACGGAACCAGCAATGACTGATCGGAACATGACGCTATTCTGGCCACGTCAAGCTTGGTTGCGCGATCATTGCGCATGTCAAAACGCATCGCATGGGATGATGGAGCGTCGGCCCAACGCAGGGCAACCGAGGCGCGGGCAACCGGGTGGGCTCGCGGGGACAAGCGGCGCGGCCATGGGGCGGTCGCAAAAGCGCTGCGAAAGATTGACAATGCAGGGCCGCCGCAGTTTGGGGCAGGAGCGCGAACAAGAACGGGGAATAGCACGTACACGCGCGAATCAGAAGGGCGAATCAGCCCACGCGCCCACGCCTTGCGTAGATATGCTCCAACAAAGCTATGGGACGAAGGAGTCAATCGGCGCGCGTCCAGGCAAGCGGCGCCCGCCGCGATCTCGCCGCGCACTGCGCTGCAATGCGTCCAACGGGGACATTGCAGAACAACTTGGCTTGAAAATTGGAGCGCGGCAGTCGCCCCGTTCTACCTCGCATGCGACCGTTGCGCATGAAGTGCCAGAGTGCGCACGCAGTTCGCAAACGACCCAGGCACCATAATTCATCTGATGTGTTCTACGTTGGGGGGTGTCATCAGGATGGCCAGAGATCGTGGGAGGTGCCATCGCTGCGATCCCAGGCGGCTACATTTGCTTCACGCACAGCAGCAAGATAGTCGCCACCTCAGCCACGCCCATCGACTACGCCGCGGTAAAGCCATGTCGCGCAGAAGTACTATCTCGGACCCGACACGGTTGCAACGCAATTTCAGACACACGTCGGCATCTATCATGGTTCAGAAGTGAAGCCAAGCCAATCAACATACGACAGCTTCAATTACCGCGGCACTTGACTCACCCACCAGCCCCACCTAAGCCGCCCAACATTGACAACAAAAGACAGCAGCAACAAGCGCAACAGGCACACCAGCAACATAAACAAGCAGATGAGCAGACGATGGGAACATCGTGTATTTCCCCCACGCTCAGTGCACCAAGCACACGAAAACCCATATTGACTCCACCGAGCACGATCTCATGGACGACGTCGAGATCGAGGGCGCCTTCGACCACGAGGACGAGCCGCCCGAAGAGGCCGTCGACGACGCTGGCGCCGAGACGAACCTCGAGGTGCGGTCGGGCGCATCTGAAACATCGGGCAGTACGCTTTCTCAGGAGATTGGCAACGACACTAAAAGCATACCACGCAATACGGCTACGTGGAAACGAAGACCGACAGCAACGGCAGTTGGCACCCGAAGCACGGCAGTTGGTGCACAAATGCGCGCCAAAAGCAGGAGTTCGGCTGTCGCCAGCAGCGGTCCAGCTTCGAGACTTGTCGGAGACTAGACTGATGACGCTGGACAGGCTGGACGTCGACACGGTCGCAGGCATGCTGGCCCAGGCCGAGCAGGAGATTGCCAAGGCCCTCACCTTCGACATGAAGATGAGTCCCCAAGCGTTCGCGGTCTGGCTGGCGAATACCTCCAAAGCATCGGCCGGCAAGCTCCATACGATCACCAAACCACAGCCGCGACGCGAAGACGAATGTATACACATCAAACGCAAGGCGCGTTCCCCCAAGTCGATCATTGACGCCAAGGCGGAGGAGTTCACGGACCTCTGGACCCACCCGAACATCACCCCAGAACGATTGCCAGACCCTCATCCAGGACATACGGGAGCACGCAAAGACTGCGCCAACCACGACCTGGTCGATCGAGGATCTCGACTACTCCCTCATGTGCTCGCCTGACATTGGCAGAGGCACAGATAAGATATCTAGCTCTGATCTCCTAACAGCAGGACGACAGCAACTGGTCAGTATTTTCCAACAGCTGCGAGCGAGAGCTCGCATGGCAATGGCAGTTGCGCAGCGCCATCACCATGCTCCAACCCAGGGCAGACGGATATCGAGCATTGGGGTTACTACCACAGATATGCCGAGCTTGGGAGATGCTGACATGGCCAGCTGTTGACATGTGTGGATACGAGCTGCAGGGCGACACTTGGGCTCAGCACTGGCGGGTAGCAGCTGCCTGCGAGCGGCCGCCGCGCGCATCCTAGACGACGAGATCTGCGACGCGCCGCAGCTGGCCAGCGCCACCCCGCGCGCGGACATACGACGATTCTACGACACGCTCGACCTGCTGCAGGTCGTCTTCGCCACCAGGCACACGTGGTTCCCACCACGAGTGCTTGCCACGGTTCTCCAGCTCCGCGCGATCGTCCTGGACGTTGCACCGGGGTCCCCCCGCCTACGGCAAGCCGACGTTGCCATCGCCATCGTTGGTGGCAAGATCCAGGCGCGCGAACTACCTGGCCAGAGCAGTCATGCATCAGGTCCTCCACCGCGTGCGCTACATGGCACCAGCCGCGGCTCCCAGCACCTGGTTCGACGTCGCGGAGAGTCAGAGGCAGCCAGGGGCATGCCAAGGCGACCATCATATCCATATTCCAAGTGCCTCAGCGAGCCGCGCCTCGAGATGGCGGACAAGAGCGCGATCGTCACTTCAAGTATCGACATGACCAACGACATCTGCATCCAAGTCAAAGAAAAAGGAGCTCCTGTCACGCCAGCATCAGTCGGCCGCGACCTTGGCCAGAACCGAGCAGAACCCACTCCAGCAAGAAGACCGACGCACAGCAAACGCAGGCACCAGGCAGCAACGCGATTCGCCAACACACGAGTCGATCTACGACGCCTGCGCACCCAGCGCAAGCGAGCATTGGTCACGCAGGAGCCAATGGCACCCTACCCCTACATGTGCAAGGTATATGGAGAGGAGCCCACAGCGGCCACCATCGCCAGGATAATATTCGCCAAATTCTTCGGAACACATTGGGCAGGGAGACGCCTGCGCGCCTACCTATCGTTTTAGGAGGTTGATCCAGCTGTCACGATATCACGCGGGGTGCTCAACGCATGGTTCGACGTCTGGGCGCGCCGAGACAACCGACGCAATGGGGCGCATCTCGCCCGGCCCAGTACCTAGAACGGAATAACCGACGCGCCCCCGCAATATCCGCGGAGGCAGCGAAGAGGATTGCTGTCATTCCTGCACGCTGGGAAGTCGGTTCGGGCCCGACCTCGCCCGGAGAGTGGGCGCAACGGCCGCGAGGGCGACCCGTCCGACGTCGCCCACGCCATCCTGCAAGCTCAGCAGCTCCAGCATCGGACCAAGACCCCCCGCCACTGGCTGGGCAAAGGCTCAGAAATCGGCATCGACAAAGGTGCTGCGCAAGAAAAATGGTCAACGCCACAAAGCTGGCGCACTTGTGGCGGCGGCGAGCGCTGGCAAAATTCCCCGATGCATCCAACACTTGCAGCCGTGGCGAGATCGGCAACGATCTCTGCAGAGTTCGGGGTGCATGCGCGAGCAGGGGCGACCGCGGGGACTGCGATGAGACGGATTGCATCAGGCAGAGAGCTATAGTGGGCAGTCAACATGCATTTTGCTTCTGGCCACGAGGACTGGCGCCCAATGCATGGGCGGCGCCGCCAGACTGCGTCGCCACGCAACAGTATACCAGCATCGGCGACTTCAACAACAGCAAGGTAACGATTACGGACGACACCATGGCGATATGCGCTGGCGGCAGCGGGGGGCAGCAACCACAGGACCCACAATATCGAAGACGTACATGGGGATGGCCCAGGCTGCAGCAGCACGGCGAAGACTGGCGATTGAGCGCTGGACAGCACGGACCTCTCCCAGGACGACGGCAGACCAACAACAAGGTCGAGGTTTAAGCAATATGTCAGGCGATACGTTGCTCAGCTGGACGGTTCCACATCGGGACTGACCCCGAGGTGGCCATTCGAGGATGACAGCGAGGCCGCCACATACGCAGCACGCGGCACCGCGCGAACCCAAACATCTGGAACCGCATTGGCAGTGCACTTCGTCCGAGGGCCCCAGACCACGGAGACCCCGAGGAGCTCGTCAGGCCGCAGCATGCGCCGAACCATCTCGACGACGAGCGCGGGCTGAGGCTCGGAATGAGCCTCGAAGCGCGGCTTGGCAACGCGGCTGCGGACGCGCTGGCCGAGAGAGCTGCAGAGGCACACGCCATTTCAGCCCCGCAGTTCAAGATGCATGAATGAGCGCGAGCAACCTGCGCGCTGGCGTGGAAAAGATTCATTCGCACCCATATCGAGACCTGCGCCAAGGACCCCGCCACCCAGATGAACGAGACGCAGGCCTCCCAGGAGCTCAAGAAGAAAGCAACCATTCCGCCTCGCCACACCGTCTTCCTCCCCTCGCGCAGCCGTTGGCAATGTTCTGTTTGTAAAGATGTTGTAAGTAAGCGTGCTGGTGCCTTGGTCATCAAGAGATGGCTAAAACATTGCAGAAGCCGCCCCGGGGCTAAGCTCGCCCGCGGCCCCGCGCAAAGCACGCAGATGGGATATAGATCGCCCCACACACACACACACACACACGCACGCACGCACGCACGCACGCACGCGCGCGCGAACGCACGCACGCACGCACGCACGCGCACACACACATACACACATACACACACACACACACACGCGACGCAATATGCAGAATGTTATTCCATTGAGTGGTGCGGCGCCTGCGGCCGTCGGCCCAAAACGCTTCATCGGGGGGTGTCAAAGGTTTGTTATGAGAACGCAAGAACCCGACCGAAAACGGGGCGCAAGAAACCAAATTCTCGTCCACGGGCAAGCCAGAGCCACACCGGGGGCCGCCCATTTCCCGTGCCCCGAAATAGCGCAGCTAATAAGCGTAACTCGACATCGTCGTCGCCGACGCTCCTTCGAAAATCTTCCTCCACCTCGCCCCTTCCCTCCTCCTCTTCCTCCTGGCCCTTGCGGCTGCGATGGCGCCCCCCTCGCCCCTCGGCCGCGCGCGCGCGGGCGGGGTGTTTTTCGCGCGGCCGGGCAGCCCTCGTGCGGCGCAACTCGCAGGGGCGCTGCTGCACGGGGCCAGGCGCGCGGCATGGCGGGGCGGCTCCAGCGCCAAATCTGCGCCCTGGAGGCGGGGGAAGGCGGCGACGGCCAACCAGAGTTGCCCTGCTGGCGTCGGACCCCATCGCAGAGCGGACTGCGTCGGCGGCGGCGACTGCAACTGCGGCCGCGGCCACGGCGCAGCCGGCGCAGCGCCTCGGCCTTTTCAGGCGCCACTGCTGGCGATTGCGGACGGGGTGGTGGCGGACCTGGCGGCCATGTCCACGATGGCAGCCCCGCCGTCTCCCGCCGCCTGGTCGTTGGGGCCCGCGCCTCCGCCGTTGGGAACGCCGCCGCGCGGCGCCGCCAGCGGCGCGTCTGCGCTCTCGGAGTCCTTCGGCAGCGCAGGGCAGCCAGGTCAAGCAGCTCGCGGAGAAGGACGGCATGCCGTCGGAGCGGGCGGGCGCCAACCCCATGGGCGGCGAGCAGCTGAAGAAGAAGGAAGAAGAAGGAGGAAAAGGAGCGGCATCGCAGCCGGCGCAGGAGGAGTCGTTCGGGGCCAATGGCGTTGGCGGTCGACAAAAAGCGGTCGACGTCGACATCTTCAGCGAAGGCAGCGTCGAGGACGACTGCCAGGAGGAGGGCGACTGGCCCAAGTGGCACCCCGGAGAGCAAGTTGCACATTCGGCCACGGGCATTCAGTTCGTTCGCGCGCTCAAGTTGCAGGCCTTCCACAAATCCCAAAAGGCGCGCGATGAGAGGCGCGCCGAGTGGCGCCTGCAGTTGGACGAGATCGAGGAGACCATCAAGTCCGACGGCCACGGCGGCAAAAGGAAGGCCAAGTCCAAGGAAGAATTTGGGGCGACGACGGCATCACAGAGGAGAATGGCCGCGGCTGTCGACAAGAAGAAAGTCAAGTTGATGGAGAAGTTCGAGGGCGCCTTGACGCCGTTGTCTGGGGCCGACATGCCGAGCGAGCGGAAGCACCCGCTCGAGGTAGTCTCAGGGGCCTCATTATCATCCTCCTCCTCCTCCTCCTCCTGCTCCTCCTCCTCCTCAACAGCATCGTCAACATCAACATTAACATCATCACCATCCCTCCTCATCCTCTTCCTGCCGCTCTTGCTCGCCATCATCATCAGCACCCCTCAACGATAGCAAAGTCACCGTCATCATCCCCATCATCATCATCATCATCATCACCACCACCACCACCACCATCATCATCATCATCATCATCATCATCATCATCATCATCATCATCATCATCATCATCATCATCATCATCATTCGCATCATCGCCCCTCCTCCTCCTCCTCGATCCCCTCATCCTGCTCCTGCGCTTGCTCCTGCTCCTCCTCCTCTTCCTCCTCCTCCTGATCCTCCTCATGTTCCTGTTCATCCTCCTCGTTCTCCTCCTCCTCCTGCTCCTTTTCCTTCCTCTTCCTGCTCCTCCTTTTCCTCATTCTCCTCCTCCTCCTCTCCCTCTCCTTCCTCCTCCTCCTCCTCCTCCTCCTCCTCCGCCTCCTCCTCCTCCTCCTCCCCTCCTCCTCCTCCTCCTCCTCCTCCTCCTCCTCCTCCTCCTCCTCCTCCTCTCCCTCCTCCTTCCCCCCCTCAGCCCCCCCCCGCCCCGCCCCAAGGTTGCGCAGCTCGAGCTCGACAACGCAGCCCTGGTGAGCAGAGCGCGGGAGGCTGCGTGGGGGAGGTGGGCCAGGGCGTGGGCAGGGCCGACGGGCCCTGGTGTCGCCTCGGATCCGCTTGCGCCCGCGGGACCGTTTCTTGCTGGCGGCTCGCGAGCGGGGGCCGCCTTTCGGCGGCGGGGCCACGTTGGCCAGGGATCCGCGGGCGGGCGGGCGCCTTCACTGGGCGCCCACAAGAGGGCGGGCGGGCGCTGGACGCGCGGGCAGGCTACCAGGGCAGGCCGGCCCTCACGGGCGGCCAGGCAAGGGCGTGAAGAAGGAGTGGGGGGAGGGCCTCCTGATGAAGGGGTTCGCGGCACCCTCTTTTGTTCGATGTTGCATGGGTTCGGGTCGATCTTGCTTTGGTGCACTCGCGCGTTGGAAGGGGCACGGGCGGCGAGGCGCCCGCGGCGGCACCGCTGCCAGGGGCGAGGCGACTCCCCTGGCACCGCGCGCGTGGGGGGGGCCAGGGCGGGGGGAAGGGGCCAAGCGACGTCACTGCAGCGAGAAATCAGGCGCCGCACGCTCAGAGCCACTTCACGCCCGCCCTTCCGTCCGACCCGAGGACAGCGATATGCACCCTCCCCGAGACGTTTGGCGTCACGGTGTCTCTCATGGCGCGCATGGGCCTCTGACCCGCTCGACCCCCTCCGGGGGGGTCCGATGTTTGACCCCAAGGAGCAAATGTCTGTAGGCGGTCCCAGCGGCCCGAGGCGGGTTTCATTCCAAAGACCCAGCCCGAGGAACGGTTTGCAGTCTCGATGTGCTTCGTGGCGTCAGAGGTCGGGGCCCCTCTTGCTCCTCCTGCTCCGCTTTCTCCGAGCGTCCTGTTCAGATCCCCCTTCTCCGAGGGGGAAAGGGTACAGCTACCACTACCCTTGCCTGGTTGTCCTCTTTTTAGGCCTTCTGGGAGCCCCTCGTCGCCACGACTGGATTCGCCTCGAAATGCTGGTCAGAACGCAGCCCAAGAGAGGTCCTGGGAGTAGCGGTATCGGTTGTGGTCTCCCCACCCGCGCTGCACGCGGGCCCTCTCAGAGGCCCCTCCTGTTCCTCCTCCTCCTTCCCCCTCCCCCTCCTCCTCCTCCTCCTCCTCCTCCTCCGCCTCCTCCTCTCCTCCTCTTCCTCCCCCTCCTCCTCCTCCTCCTCCTCCTCCTCCTCCTCCTCCTCCTCCTTCTCCTCTTCCTCCTCCTCCTCCTCCTCCTCCTCTCCCTCCCTCTCCTCCCCTCCTCCCCCTCCCCCTCCTCCTCCTCCTCCTCCTCCTCCTCCTCTTCCTCCCCGTCCCCGTAGCCAGTTTGGCTCAAGGCTAAACGTGTGATGGTAAAGTGGCATACCGAATCACGATTAGCTGTGGGTGCATCCGTGACATCTGCCCGACCTGTTGTGGCACCACGTCAGGACTGTGTGCTGGACCGTGGTCTGGTCTCTGTTTTGTGAGTTCCTGCTGGAGCATTCGTGTTCAGTCCTCATGGCATGGCGGTCTCTTGTCCCGTGGACGCAGGCGGCGGCGAAGCGCGGTGCTGCGCAGTGGCAGCAGCCTCGCCAAGGTGGACGTGCGCGCCGCCGCACCACATACTCCGTCGGCGGGTCCTGTGGCCACTGGGACTTTGACCACTTCGGCATCTTGGCCTGCAGCAAGAGCGCGGTGAATACCTTTTCTGCGGGTGGTGCGCGTAGTGGTGAAGTCGTTCCTCGCCTTGATGTTGCTGACCCTTTCGCTGCTGAGTTCTGGTCTCTGGCGGCGGAATATCCTCACATGGCGGGCGCCCTTGGTCAGATCAAGGTGTCTTCGCCGCCACCCGTTCCTGTCCCTTGTGAGCCTGTGTCGGAGAACCCCATCGAGAAACGTATTCTGGCTCGGCGGGCTTGGCTGTCTCGTAAGATGGTGGTGGCGAGTCGTAAGGAGAGGGTGGCCCAATCTGGTGTACAACAAGAGCATGCAGCTGTCGTCCGTCATCGTGAAGCAGTCGCGAAAGCAGAGGAGAAGCACGTTGAGTCTCAGCGGTGGCACGAGGAGGCTGAAGCGGCGTTGCGGGTGGCGACGGCGGCGAATGATGGCTTCGACGAGGACGCATCTCGTGCTGCGGCGCCACAGCCTGGCCAGCCTGCACAGGCCCAGCCTGCTCTTCATGCAGATCCTGTACGTGTTAAATGGCATGCTGCAGATGCTCGTGCCGGTGTCGTTCCTGCCCCTGCGCCTCCTGAGCAGGGCCCTCCGGTTCCTGGTCTCGCGGCTGCAAGCGCGATGGATTTCGCGCGGGATGAGGCCAACCTGCGCTCGCTGGACGAAGGGGACCTCGCGCTGTTCCAGGGCAGGTCTGCCATCGGCGCCGGGCAGTGGAAGGCGATGCTGGCGTGGGCTAGGGCCCACGCCAACGGTCGTGTCGTGCAGATGGAGGAGAATGGCAGTGAGGTCACTGACGTCGGCGATGTGGGTGCTCTTGCTGAGTTAGGCGGGCTTCGCAAGCGCGCTGCCGAGACTGGCCTCGACTTCCAGGACTCCGAGCGGCGCGGCAACGTGGCCCAGAAGGCCGCCGAGGCCCGCGCAGGCAAGCGGGCCCGCCGCGCTTATGCCCAGCAATCTGATTTCCTGTTTTCGGCGTTCTGTCGGGCAGCGGCCACCCAGCTTCAGCCCGTGCCCGCTGGGAGCGGGCGCTCTCCTTAGCCAGCCTGCGCCCGCTGAGAGATGGCGGGTTCTCAAGCAGAGTGATCCCTTGCAGGTGATGTCACGTCGCGGTCAGCGCTGGCTATAGGATGCGCGGCTTGCCTGGCGGCCGAACACCGCGCGCGTCTTGGCGCACCCCCTAGTGCAACGAAGAACGCCCGTGGGATGGGGCGCCCCCCCTACTTCCAAGCGGCTTTGGATTCGCTCGGAGGCGGCGCGCGCAGCGAAGTCGGCATCCTGGCCCACTAGAGCATTTTTTTCCAGAGGTTTTTGATTGCGTGTTCTAACGCGTCCCAGGTTGGGCCTGGCACGCGTCGGCTGCTCCTGGAACTGGGCTGTTCTCGCACGTTTCCTGGTTCCGCCGATCAGCGCGGCGGGCAAAAAATCCGGAATCGGATGCGTGATATGCACAAGTTTGTTCGGACCCTGGTCATCCCCTGGTTTCTCATTGGCGGTTTTAACCATGGCCCCGAGGCCCCTGGGGAATTCGGCTGGTTTGAGTTGAAAGTGGCTAGATCACGCCCGACTGTGCCAGACAATGTTGTTTTCTCTTGTGATGCGGGTGAGACGATGATCGACGGTCTCATTCGCTCCCGTTCGCGCATGCTGCCTCTGTAAGCCGTCGCGGGCGCGCCGCTGAAGAAGCGCGCCTGTCTCAAGGCTGTCATCGACGAGGGCGCGCTGTCCTTGGCTGCGCTACGTAGAGTCAGCCGCGCTGCAGTTCCTCCTGCCTTGGGCCCTGACAGTACGCGGATGCACCATTGGATTTGGGCTATGCAGGATCATTTGGGCGCGGTGATTCTGGAAAACGTCTCGGTGGCCTTCCTGGGGAAACTTGTTGATCGCTTTGTTCCTCGGATCGTTCTGGGGCGCGTGCGCCGCGGCCCAGGGCCGCCGAGCGCGCGTTCTTGTCTCGGGCGCGCGCTGCCGCGCAACCTGATCGAGCGTTGGGGAGAGGCCCCCGGCCCAGGACGTTCTCGAGATCGCTCGCGAGACGTAGTTGTCAGAGCTTTGCGCGCGAATGCACGCGCGTCTGGTCCCAGGTGCATGTCTGACTCTATGGGCTTCTGAACTGTATAACGAAGGTTCTTGGTGCCAGGCGCTCTTTTGATATGCTGGCTCTGCTGCGGCGCTTGGCGGACCAGCCGCGGGTGCATCCTGCGCCTCTTCGCGAGCCCGCCGAGGCCTCCTGGTGGACTCAGGCGCTGGCTGGCATCTCCGATAGCATGGACATGGTCCGCGAGCTGGTCGACGAGGCCGCGCGCGCGCTTCGACGCGCGGTTGAAATCAGATGACCGCGCGACGGCTCAGCACTTGAAGGAATTTGATTGGGCCACGCCAGACATGATGAAGCGTCGGGGGCAGTATTGGGGCAGCTGGTGGACTCCTGACGGCGATCGCATTGCGTTCCTCAACAGTTCTTTTGGGGAGCTGACAGCAGCAGCTCAGCTAACTGCGCTGCTAGCTCCCGAGTTCGAAGTTCGTGATCTCGTCCAATGGCCCCCTCGCGCATGGTTCTCTTGGCCTGGTCACGCGCTCGACGGGGTCGCGCAGATCTTCGATCGACTTGAGCAGGAGCTCATTTTCCCGACCCAGCGCCTGGTCAGTTTTATGGCGATGCCCCCCAAGCGCGTGGCCGATGAACGCGCGTCGCCGAAGTGCCCCACGTGTTATAGCGTGTATGTGCGCATGCGTGGTGGGATGATTGGTGAGTGAAACAGCGCTCGCATCCATTATTGGGCTGCCGCCGTCAGGGGGGGTCATCAGCTTCGCAGAGCGCTCTCCCGAGGGCTTCGCTCGTCGGTTTCGTGCCCCTGGCACTTCATTTGGACATGGTGCGTTTTTTTTTTTCGACAGCGCGGTGGCTCCGCTGCTTGCGCAGCTCGCCTTGAAGGTATCCACCGCAACTGCTTGACTTTGGCTTGTTTGCGCGCGCGCACCCGCGATTGTTGGAGGCTGATGGCGCCCTCTCCGGCGCCGCTCCTGCTGACAATTCTATATTGGCCGGCCGTGCGCGGTCCACGCCGTGAGCGAATGCTCTCTTGCATGATCTGACAATCTTTCGCATTTGCATGTCCCCCGCGCGCAGGTCTCGTCGCATGTTGACGATGCCGCACAGCACGGGCAAGGAACGATCAAGCACGTCGCACGTGGTTATTGCTGCCATTCTCTCTTTCTCCAGGGGCGTCGCCTCCATTGGATGCCGCGTTTCGGCGAAGTGCGCCGCAGTTGCAGCATCTCCGTTGTTGATGAGACAGGCCAGATCCGAGTTTGAGCGTCTTGGGGCTGGTCAAGGCGTCGGCGGCGGTCAGGGATCCAGGGGCGATGTCTACGGCTGGGAGAAGGAGGT